GATTGGCTAAGGAATGATTCTCATTGACTTCATGGTGAAAAAAACAAATCTGTGACGATAATATAGCGCAAATAGTATTTATATATAATGTTTTTTGTCCAATCTTTAACCCAGGATACAATCAAAGTCATTCACTGTCGATCTTATTTTTGTAAGAATGCAATAAATGATCATGTTGGTTCCAAAAATGCTTTAAATTTTTTGACCTTTTTTTGAATTACTAAATTATGTTTGCATAAAGATGATCTCGCACCCGGGAGCACCAAGTTCCCTTCCCACCCTACTCCTACTCCCTCCATTCGGGTTTACAAGGTTCATCCAAAATAATAATGAGAAATTTGGTTATTCAAAGCTCGTCCCACATCTTCAAATCTTGACATTAATTGCAAGCCAATGCATGCCAGCGTTGCATTTAATACAATGCATGCAAGTGATCAAAATACCAGGGCATGCAACGCATTACAGTTTGTTAGTACTCCCTCCTTTAGGGATTATCTTAAAATCTTAGTTTTTTCATTTTATAAGGCTCAATTTGGTTGTTCACCATCACAAGTTCAGAATCCAAGGTGCATTAAATAATTGCATGCAAGTATTAAGAGAAACTTGATCAATGCATGTACATTATGCATGCATGTATTGCAATTAATACATTGGTAAACATAATTTTTTGAGGAAAACAAGAGCTTAATTGGATGCTTTTGCAAATTACAAAAAGTATCCACCACTCACCATCTACCTTGATTGGTGAGATTTTTGAATTGAGCCCTATAAACCGGAAAGGAAGGAGTACCACATACTCAGAGAGTTAATTAGCGACAGTAATGAGAATTTTTTTTTGAGGAAAACAACATGACTTTGCTATGTATTTTTATAGATTTTTGGATAAAAAATACAAAGAGACAAACGGCAAAAAGAAAAATAATAAGTTCAAGAAAAGAGTTACAACAGCAACAAGAAGAAGACCCAGTGAACAAACACCCAACCAAACAAACAGACAAAAACAGGAGAAGAAGAAAATTACAAACACAACAATAAACAAGGTGAATACACTAGGACATGATCTAAACCATGGTTCAAAGTGCTGATAAGATTTCCTCTGCGCTCTCATCAAAATCCACTGTAGCTCCTCTTTAAGCTTCTTCCCGCAGCTGTATAGATTGGGAATCAATCCCTTGAAGATGAAGTCATTCCTGATGATCCAAATGGCCCAAGAGGCTAAAATAATAAGTTCAAGAGCAAACGGTACAATAATGAGATTTGAATGTCAAAATTCTATTTGATATCATCGGCTTTTGAAATGAACCCTCTATATATAAACGAAGGGAGTGGGCATTGAAAAGACTTTCTAAATGCTGGAGTTGTATCTATATCTATACTACAATATTGTATGATTAAATTTGAATAACAACTGTACGGTGGAGGCGTAGTAAATCCGAGTGTTGCTGGCCATTGGATCTCTTCTTTACCACACTATATTCTGCAACATGTACCATCTAGAAGTTTTTATGGTTGGACTTAAGTCCTATATATGGACATTTTGCACAAAACTCAAAAAACACTTCTACTTTGTTCTAGAATCTCTCTAGCTTCTTTTTCTACTGAAACTGCCTTTAATCTTTTACTTGGTGACATTGTTATTTGTGTTCAAGGCTACGATGTACCTTCAGATAAAGCAATAGCTATTCTTGTTATTTACTATTAATAATAGCAATATGAGATACAAAAAACACACCTAGACAAAACATGCTCAATATATTATACCCGACTTTTGCACCTTACTAAAAGGGTTGGGTGTGCTTTCCGTACCATTCATGTTGTTGGGATTTCATAAATAAAATATTTGGTTGACGTGTGGGGAAGATAATGGAGTGTGTTTCCTTTTATAAGAATGCGTTGTTTTTATGGGCTTTCTTAGTTGTGTGGTTATGTGTTATCTGCTAATCAACACATACTCTTATACTTATATGGTCCTCATTCGCCGGTGTTGGTCCAGGATGAACACTCCGGCATGGTAGCCGCCTCACGGCGGATTACGATGTCCACTGAAAGGTCTTTGCGAGTGATACTCTCCAAGATCCAGTGGTTGGTTTGACGGTGATATGCAATCTATGGAGGATGGCTTGATGCAGAGGGTGTGTTTGTGCAGCGGCAACTATTGCTTTAACCCAGCACATGCAGCTGCTAGGATCTCAGAAAGTGGTGGCGACAACACAAGCTTGACTCCGATGGTAGTGCTTTTTGAGTACCCGGTCTCGAGTTCCGGGGTGAAAACCTAGGTCTGGCCCATGATGGATATACCTGGCAATGACGATGTTTTGGCATCGTTACCTTGTTGAAGGCATTGCTCGGATATGCTCAGACCGCTTCTTTAGGGTGAAAACCTAGACTCTGATCTTTGGTGGTTGGTTCCAGTGACGGCGGCACTCGAGTGTCGCTCCCTTCCTGAAGACGTTGCTGTTGAAGAATCTCGTTGTCTTTGTGGTGTCATGAGATGGTTGGTGCAGATACGGTCATCGTTGTAGTTTGTCGATCACGATTTTGATCGCTTCAGGGTGGGTTTTTTTCTCTCGCTTAGGCATAGTTTTGGTCTTATATGACTTTGCTATTTGCCGGTGTTTTTTGTATGCGTGCGTTGGTGTCGGCTCTGTGCATCTTAGTTATGCAAAGGCCAGGCGTGTGCTCACTATGTTCGTATCCTCTTGATGCTTCATTCTGAGTAACAAAATCCACCCATTGTCGAAAAACACATACTTATATGCGGAAGTTTCTTGCGCTGGTGGCCGCATATATAAGGTGCTACAGTGTCACAGGTTGGAACTTTTTCCGGATGGTGAGAGAGTGCACAAGACTTGATTTGTTTTTATACACTGGTTGATGCGCATTAATTTCATAGATTGCTGGCTCGGTCAAAATACTAAATCCAAAATTGTGAACCTCAATTAAATGCGAGAGCTCTTTTAGAAATTGTTGACCCAGACAAAATCATGAACCAAATTCAAAATTGAACACCTCAATTGAATGGAAGGGTTCCAAAATTAGGGAGCATGGTGAATTAGAAGATGCTTCATGCATATGCCTCAAATTTTTCTTTCACCTATTATAGTAGAGTAACGGTGTCGATCTTTGGTTCTAATTTAATCATCTGAGATCTGGCAATGCACGTATAACTTACTAGGATGAAACATATAGAACAAGATTAATGCTCTTTTCAAAGGTATCACCTACTATGGCTGCAATCCTGAAATCATCTTGATATCGACTTCCTTGGCAACTAACACTAATTATGGTACCAATGATTAGCTTCAAGGGTTTACCTGTTCTATTTTTGTTTTCTCTTAATGTTGTTTATCTCAGATGTATGTGCTTGTTTCATTGTAAACATCCCACATTTGTCACATCACATTCAATCATATGCAGCCACTCGATGACATTTGACTGAAAATGAAGATGAGAACAAAACCATAATGATCATGGTACAAGGAAAAAGTTATCTCAAGCACTTTGTGTTTATTTATGTGTAGCAACGTGGGGGGTTACGTTTCACCATTCAAGCTCAATCTAGTCCATGGATTTTCAAAAGAGTTCAATTATCTCTTCTATTATGCGATTGGCTAGGGTTAAACGATGATCCACATTTACTCGGAAATGTTAAAAAATGCCCACATTAATCAGCCAAAAAACTATATATCCTATCGTGTGGGTACATTTTGATGATTAAAACACTTTACCGAATAACTACAAAAATTGTTACAGTTGTGCTGTGATTGGGGACACTATGCTATAGACTGATGTTTTTCGATAAATGACACATTTATTAACTCAAAACGTAGCACTAAGCGGATAAAAAATGTGATGAGCGACATTTGATTTCTGCGTACCAAAGATGCACGCAGTCAAAAACTTCCAGTCTAATGCAAGTAGAGAAATAATATATGTGCTCATATGGGCTATGCCGATGTTGAAGGAGATGGTGGACCGATCAAGAGATTAGGCTGCCATCTATGTCAGGAAAACCTCACTGTCCACCCACTCCAACCGCACCCACACTTCCTTAAATAGTGGTTAGTATTCCATGATGTGTAATGTAGACTACGTACAGGGCCAATGAGCACAAGGATATATAACATAGATTTTTTGCCTTTAAAAACAATTCTAATCTCTACATAGGAAGCAGCCTAAGGCCTATTTGGTATCCGGTCGAGCCTGTGACAATATATATTGGCAACGTTTATGGGCAGATAACAATTTAGACGCTATTTGAATGACCGACCACCTAGAATGCGCAAACTTGCATTGAAAGAAAAACTATTTGATTGTCTCATCGCGAGTACAAAAACTAAATTTGTCGCTTCCTTGCTAGTTTCGATGAGCGAGGTTGTCTTTAGTTAGCACAAATCCCCTTTAAAGATTCCACATGAAAATCCTCTAAATGTGTGAGTGCACAGTACATTAGGTGTTTAAGAAATTCCATTACGTGTACTGTATTTATTTGATTTTCTTATGTTGATACTTTTCTCTATAAATTTGGATCATTAGGTGTTTCAGAAATTCCACAGGGAAATCTTAGACAGTTCATGATGGATGAAATTTTGGCTACAGCCTATTCAACTGGGTAACGCTAAGGAATTATACAACTTTAAAGCTGCTGAAATTTTCATACAATATACACGTTATCGTGACCATATCCACCTCAACTGTTAACAGAAAAACCAATGTACATAAGTGATTCAGATAGGCAACTTTGAACATGTTTCACAAATCTGAAACATACAATCATATCAAACAGGAGATCCAAATACATCTAAACTGCAACCCATCGAATCGAAATTTACAACATTACGGGAGAACTATATGCCATCACTGAAACTAGAGCGAGCCTGTGAATCCGGGAAGGTCCCAAAAATTCAATAACAATGTCCATGTATTTTAACCAGTGCTGAATACAGATATCTTTTCCAATGTGACAATCACCTTTCGCCAGATCAATTGTTCAAGTAGGTTCACGAACCAAGGCGGTACATGCCGTCAGCCATGAACTGACCGTCCATGTAGAGGGCAGCGGCATTCTGTGGGTGGAATCCTTCCATCATGACAAACGGCATGTCCTCAGACGGTTTCCAATGCCGTTTCCTCTGGTTAATGAACCAGTTGTTGATCTGTTTCTGGTCTAGCCCTGTCGATTCCGCAAGCGCGATCTTTTCTGTCTCCTACACTCGATACATAACGCAGCTTTCATTTTGATGGAAATTACATGCGGCTCCGAAATGAGTGGAACAGAAAAGAAAAAAAAAACCCGTAAATTTTAAGGGATGGAAGCATTTATCATACCGAGGGGTAAGGCCACTTGTAGTGCAGCTCCCACCAGTGAAGTAGCTTCTGCCTGGCCTCCTTTGGGAGCTTCCCCTTCTTCTTCTTCTTGGAGAACTCTTGCCGGAGGCTGCTCAGGTAGCCACTGTACTTCTTCAGAAGCTGGTACTTGAGCTCCTTGTCCTCAGCGCGTGGGTCTATCTCTGGCGGCTCATTTTCACGCCCGCTAGCGTCCATTTCATCCTCAGAAGAGCCAGCGCCTTCACATTTGCCATCTGTAGGTAAAAAATTGGTAATGGTAAGATACACGTGTGTTGTCGAGATCAGAATGGTTATCACGGCCAGACCTGGTTTCAGACTTTCAGTCTCCACCATGTCGGACAACAATGGGGTGGTTGCAGTATTCAGAAAGCCCATCGCTTGTCTATAAACAAATCTATCATTTTAGGAATGCATGCAGGATTCGAGTGTAACAGTGTAATTTTGGACATCTAGTAGTGTGGCTACAGTCCCAATTAGCTGGACTTTGCAATGAGCTGAATAAGACCGAATCGGACCGAAAAGGCCATGGTTTGTCAGTTGAAACTGATACCAATCTGACCATTACCTGATAGACCAGTTCCGAAGTGTTTATTTGAACGTATCACAAAACAGAGGAAAGCCAGCAACTATAGCTATAGTCTTGTAAGCTGTAGTTGATCCAATGTTTTTCAAAGATATTTGTTTCCACATAAGACTGATTTTATAGATGCTCAGGGAGTCAGGGTAGCAAAGCAGTTGCCCTGCAATATACTCCCTCCGTCCTATAATATAAGAGCTTTCTTCACACTAATGTAGTGTCAAAAACACTCCTATATTATGGGACTGAGGGAGTAATTGTTTTTGCATGGCACAATGAATATTGGAAGAAAAAATATTACAAAATTGACTGTTTTCTAAGAAATTTGCCAAACTATATATATCTTACACCAAAGTAGTAAATGAAAATGAGCAAACCAAAGGAAAGAGACAAAATGTGCACCATACCATCAGAGGAACCCAATTGCTTATATTAAACATTATCTAGGCACAATATAATTGAATATAGTGAAGATCGCCTTAAGAATAAACAAATATTGTTTGACCATAACTTCAGTTCGGATGTGCAAGAATAATAGTGGATCTACAGATAAGAATAATAATATTTTGTTGAATGACTTGAATGGAATGGAATCCCAAGAAATGTCCTCAATATTTCCTGAATAACGTTTTTTCTAAAATTCCCTCAAACAAAATGTCTACAATATGTTACCCTAATTTTAATTTGTTTAATCTGTGCAACCTTAAATTGGTGTGCATGCACCTTAAACAGACCGCTAAGGATGGATGGAGGGGCGCTCAGGCACCAAGCCTCGGCATCCCTTAAACCTCACTTGTTTGATCTCTTAATTGACACATGGTTAGCTCAAATGATATTAGAGGTACTAGAAGAATAGGAGGACAAAACTAGTTCATTGTCTCTCCACGTGCACCATATATTGTTCTGTGTGCACATTCAACAAACAGACAATTGAAACTGTAACCAATAAAATAAATAATACGTAGTTGCTAAATTTGATGCAGAGGCCAGGGATAATCCTCCTTCTCGAAAAAAAACGTAGTTTCTGAATAAACAAGATCTAGATTTTTCACCAAATTTGTTGAGATTCTAATGTTCCATGTCTTTGAGAAATCATATATGTATTATGCTGATTTAAAAAAAACAGCTTCAAGAATTTCTTTCCCTGAATACTACTCTACGCGCAATTCACCTACGAGGCGAGTAGGGTGGATCCGATAGTTTACACCTCCTAAGAGATGAAACATTTAGTTCAAGTTGCAGTTAAAATGTTATCACTTTGACTTATAATGTTGATCTGTATATAAGTGGTGGTAACTACCACTGGTGGTAGAAAACATTTGTCCTATATATATATAGGAAAATGGTTGTGTACTCCTGGGAGTACGTACTCCCGCTTCTCATATACCACATAGATGAATCTTTTATATCATTTTATTATTTTTAATATACTTCATTAGTAATTATTAGATACCCCAAAATGAGTTCCATGAAAAAATTCATGTGAGTCTACATATTTTTAAATGTTTACGTATATACTGATGTGTTTGTATGTGAAAAAGGTATATTACAAAAAGTACATCGCAGATGATATTTTTTTAACAAAACTCGTATTGGGGTATCTTAGAATATTTAATGAAGTATATTGAGAATAATAAAGAGGTATAATTAATGCGTATATGAGGTATATTGAGAATGAGAGTACATACTCCCAGGAGTACAGAAGAGGAGTCCTATATATATATATATATGTGTGTGTGTGTGTGTGTGTGTGTAAGATGATAATAATGACATATTATTAGTTTATGCATTTTGTAATGTGCCTTAATTACATGGCCATTATTCTGTACACAGGGAATTATTCTCTGAACACATATATACCACAACAATATATAACACCTTGAGCTGTTGATCTCCTTGGAATGCATGCATACCACAACCATGGAGATAGGAAGAACACAGTAGTCGTACCCTGGCAACAGTGCATCAGATATCCCCATTATTCTGCTAAATCTACCCACACACTGTATATATGTACTAATGTACATGTCCTACCCACAAGCAGAATAGTGCCCCTTGAATACCCCCCGGAAGACACGACCGCCAGCACATCCGTGCTGCACCCTGCACTGCACCCAAGCTGTAGAGCTGGAAGAACAATAAAGAGCAAAAAATATACGGACTAGTCCTTGGAACAGTACTGGAACACTTCTTTTTGCGAGACTGGAACACTGGTGATCTAGCTAGCTTGCTAGCTATAATGGAGTTTTCACAAGGCTTCTGTGATGATCTGTAAGAAAATTAATCAACTATATATGTTTTCCATGCTAGTAGCTGGTGCAAGAAAAGAAGAGATGATTTGAAGCTTCATGCATGGAGATCGATGACTCTCCTGCAAACTAGCAGCCTTGGAACCTTAACACAATGGATTCTAGTGTCTTGTCGTGAAGTGAAAGGAAAAGAAAAAGGAGAGAAAGAAGGGATTAAAAATTAAAAAAGGGATTAGTTGAAAAGCTAGCATGTGTAGTGTGCTCAATTAGGCATATGCAATATGATAATCCTAAACGAGAGGAGGAGAACCATGAGACATGGCTCCTCACTGTGCCCTCCATGCCAACCGAAGCTAGCTTCAGATTATTAGTTGATTAACTAATCAGTCACTACTACTTAATTAAGTTTAACTAGTGGTAATAATTTATTAGTGCACACAAAGGAAAGGTCTCTGCCATTCTCTTTCCAAGCCCTCCCATCATAAACTAATACACGGGTTAATTAAGAACAGGCTAACAATGGCTATGATCCAAGGCAACCACCTCAATCATCCGGCAAGCATGTACTAGTAGATGGGATGGGTCATGGAAGGGATGGTTTACCGGCAAGGGAGAGGCGCGCGGAGCCGTGGCCACCGCCGGTGATGGAGTCGAGCTGCGCCTCCACTCGCTTGAGGAACTCCATGGCCTCCTCTATCGGCCGCGTCAGCTCCTCCCTGTACTTGGCGAGCATGTTGCAATACGCCTCCTGCAATTTCACTAGCACAAGGAGTCAGTTCGTTCTTAGTACTAGCTGGAACAAGAATCGGCGGATGAAGAATTAAACGGCCATGGCATGGTGTGTGTGATCGGAATCGGGGAAGAAGAAGACGTACCATGAACTGGTCGAGCTCTGGGTCGCGAGCCTCGTGCAGCCGGCCCGGCGGGTGGGCGTCAAGCTTCGCTGCCATGGCCGTCAGCCGCTCCAGCACGTCCGGCGGCGCACCGACCTGCGAATCACGCAAAAGAAAAACGGGTATATATCATGCTTGCTGATACAGTCGAGCCGTTGGATTAATGAAATTAGCAATTTTCATGAGCGTATAATATATGTACTTTCTGGCAGTCGAGGTAGGCGACGAGGAGGGCGGTGTACTGGGGGTGCGCCATGATCTTGGCCTTAATGGCCTCAGCCTCCGCTTGCGAGATCTCCTCGCCGCTGCTCTTGTGGTGGTGGAACTGGTACTGCGACGACCCGGCGGCTGCGGCGGCCTGGTGCAACGCGAGCGGCGTGCCGTAGTACGTTCCGCCCATCGGGCCTCGCCCGGAAGCCACCGTCGTTGTCGACAGTGGCTGCAGCTGCAGGAAGGATGAAGAAGCCTTGGAGCTGCTGCTGCCCCCTTCTCCAGCTCCGAGATTCCCAAAGCTGCTCTGATCCATGAGCAAATTAACAAACCCTAGCTCGTAAGAAGAGAGAGAAAAATAGAGCTCAACCGATAGAGATCTCTTCTCTATGCCTCGCAGCTCCGTGTACGGCAGTAATGGCGGCTTGGGAGAGGGAGGGAGGTGGATATTAATGGGCCGGAGAGGGAGATGGACGCGGAGTGGAAGGGAAGGGAAAGGTGGGGGAGCTAGCTAGCCGGGCTGTGCGTGTGAGTGGCTGGTGGCGATCCTCTTTCTCACGTCAAATCACAGCGGAGGGGGAGATGTATATGTACACCTGCTTCCTTCCTGCTGCGGTCGCATGGAATACTAGCAGCCTGTTCGGAACTGGAGCTTGTTTTTCGCATATATTGTTTTAAATAACCAGCTACGCCAAATCCAAATAGCAGCTCAAATAGCTATAGAGTGGCTATAACGGTTATGGTCCATTTCTTTTTTACTTTACTGGAGAATAACATGAATATAAATTTATTTATTTTATTTTTTGGAAAAACTTTCCATATATTCATTTTCAATCATGGTAGTACAACGAATACTAGAAATAATAAAAGTCCAGATCCGTATATCGCCTAGCGACGACTACAAGCTCAAAACCTTATAGCGGCATTTACAACTTTGGTTTTAGGTGACTTTATATATAGCGGCTATTTACAACCTTATAGCGGCTATCTTCAAGTATTACTAGTATAGATGAACTAATCAACACCTTTTTATTCAGATGAAGAATGAAATTTATTTGGTAAAAAGGCCTATATGTAGAAACACTGCAGAAAATATTATCAAACAACAACAACGAACAACAACAGCAAAGTCTTTAATTCCAAACAAATTAGGGTAAATTAGAGGTGAAAAACATAAAATTTCATGACCAACTCATGGTTCTGGCACATGGATAGCAAGCTTTCACGCATCCCTGTCTATAACTAGTTCTTTGATAATACTCCAATCCTTCATATCTCTCTTTACGGACTTCTCCCATGACAAATTCGGTCTATCCCGACCTCTCTTGACATTATCCGCATGCCTTAACCGTCTTCTATGCACTGAAGCTTGTGGAGACCTGCGCTGAATATGCCCAAACCATCTCAGACGATGTTGGACAAGCTTCTCTTCAATTGGTGCTACCCCAATTCTATCTCATATATCATCATTCCACACTCGATCCTTTCTCGTGTGGCCACACATCCATCTCAACATGCACATCTCGGCCACACCTAACTGTTGAATATGTCGCCTTTTAGTCGCCCAACACTCATCGCCATACAATATTGCGGGTCGAACCGCCGTCATGTAGAACTTCGCTTTTACCTTTTGCGGCACTCTCTTGTCACACAGAATGCCAGAAGCTTGGTGTCACTTTCATCCATCCGGCTTTGATGCGATGGTTCATATATTCATCAATACCGCCATCCTTCTACAACATTGACCCCAAATATCGAAAGGTGTCCTTCTAAGGCATCACCTTCCCATCAAGGCTAACCTCCTCCTCGCGCCTAGTAGTACTGAAACCGTACCTCATGTACTCGGTTTTACTTATACTAAGCCTAAAACCTTTCGATTCTAAGGTTGTGTCTCCATAACTCTAACTTCTTACTGAACCCCGTCCGACTATCGTCAACTAGCACCACATCATTCGCGAAGAGCATGCACCATGGGATATCCCTTTGTATATCCCTCATGACCTCATCCGTCACCACTCCAGAAAATATTATTGTAAGATCTAAATACTGATCCCTAGTCTTAGAAGTTGCATACAACAAGATCTTCAACTGAAATCTACATTTTCCACGATCTGATGGCTTGTCATAGACTATCAAGTATGTTCCACGAATAAGAAAAAATCTACATTTTTTCCTTCTGAGCAACGTGGCATACAAACCAATGCATACAACTACATGTATGTAGTCAAAAATCATCAACTGAAATCTGTTGTCACGAAACATTGAGGCTAGGGCACTGACGCGGTGGCAAACCATCTGGATCGGCTGGGGTAGGGCTACCGGGGGACGCGCGTGCAGTGGCTAGGGAGGCGTCTCTAGTCGTGTGGCTGCGGAGTTCGCCCCCCTGGCCGACGGGAACCCGCGTGTTGTATGGCGATGGTGGCGCGACGATGGTCGGGATCTGGATGCCTTCCAGATCTTCATCAGTTTTGCCCGCTGACAGACGACGACATGATGAGGGGTCGGTGAGGGGTGCTGGTTCCCTGCCGGTTATCCAGTGGTTACGCGTGCCATCATGGCGTGGGTCTGCGCTGACCCGGGTAGCAGCTGGTTCGGAGTGGCACGAATGCCTGTGAAAACCATCTTGACCTCGGTCATGGCAGACAATAGCGGTGTCTTGGGCGACGTATCCTTGTAGAAGGCATCACCAGTTATGATCGTCATCACCTTGTTCCGGCTGCTCTAGGGATCCCGGATCGGGAGATGATGGGGCCTTCAGGGCCATCATTCTTTATAGTGACCCTCACACACTTGGATATGATTTTGATATGGTTTCCTCTCAGCAGAGTTTCCAGAAGATGATATCTCGGAGGTGTCGAGTGTCGACCATGCCCCAGTGGACGTGGCAAGTGACACTGAGTCACAGTACTGATATGTATCCAACGTATCTATAATTTTTGATTGTTCCATGCTATTATATTATCTATTTTGGATGTTCTATATGCATTCATATGCTATTTTATATTATTTTTGGGACTAACTTATTAACCCAGAGCCCAGTGCCAGTTTCAATTTTTTCCTTGTTTTTGAGTTTTACAGAAAAGGAATATCAAACGGAATAAAACTTTACGGTAATTTTTCTTGGACCAGAAGAAACCTAGAAAACTTGGACAGGGGGCCAGAAGACCTACGGGGAGGCCACAAGCCCTAGGGGTGGGCCCCAGGGGGCCTGGGCTTGTGCCCCCCCGTAGACCTCCTAACCCTAATCTTCGCTCCATAAATACCCAAATATTCCCCCAACACCAGAAGCATCCACGCAAATACTTTTCTGCCGCCGCAAGCCTCTGTTCCCGTGAGATCCCATCTTGGGGCCTTTTCCGGCACCCTGCCGGAGGGGGATTCGATCACGGAGGGCATCTACATCAACTCTATTGCCCTTCCGATGAAGCGTGAGTAGTTTACCATAGACCTACAGGTCCATAGCTAGTAGCTAGATGGCTTCTTCTCTCTCTATGATCTTCAATACCATGTTCTCCTCGATGTTCTTGGAGTTCTATCCGATGTAATATTCTTTTGTGGTGTGTTTGTCGAGATCCGATGAATTGTGGATTTATGATCAGATTATCTATGAATATTATTTGAGTCTTTTATGAATTCTTATATGCATGATAGAATATCTTTGTATTTCTCTCTGAATTATCGGTTTGGTTTGGCCAACTAGATTGGTTATTCTTGCAATGGGAGAGGTGCTTAGTTTTGGGTTCAATCTTGCGGTGTCCTCACCCAGTGACATAGTAGGGGTAACGGGGCACATATTGTATTGTTGTCATCAAGGGTAAAAAGATGGGTTTTTCATCATATTGCTTGAGTTTATCCCTCTACATCATGTCATCTTACTTAAGTTGTTACTCCGTTCTTATGAACTTAATACTCTAGATGCATGCTGGATAGCGGCTGATGTGTGAAGTAATAGTAGTAGATGCAGGCAGGAGTCGGTCTACTTGGCATGGACATGATGCTTATACTCATGATCTTTGCCTTGGATATCGTCATAACTTTGCGATTTTCTATCAATTGATCGACAATAGTTTGTTCACCCATCATATTATTTTCTTTCAAGTGAAACCTATGGCCCCCGGGTCTATTTTCCATCATATATTTTCAGATCTATAAACCAAAAAATCCAAAAATACTTTGCTCAATTTATTTGTTTTTACTTTGTTTTGGTAATGTTTTATATCTATCTCTATCAGATCTCATCCTTGCAAGTGAGCGTGAAGGTATTGACAACCCTTTATCGCGTTGGGTGCAAGTGTTTGATTGTTTGTGCAGGTGCATAGATTGGAGACTTGCGTGTACCTCCTACTAGCTTGATGCCTTGTTCTCAAACTATGGGAAATACTTATCTCTACTTTCCTGCATCACCCTTTCCTCGTCAAGGGAAAAACCAACGCAAGCTCAAGAAGTAGCAAGTACCACGAGGATAGCAACGAGAAGGATGAGAGTGACGAGGAGTCGGACACCGAGGAGGGCGATGAGGCCGAATCTTCCCTATCCGAGAACCTTCCTAGAGAGCACCGCACCAAGGCACACCATGACCCGAGCGCTCGCGCGGGCGGCCTTCAGGCGCTGAGTGCCCTAAAGCAGACTGCTCCTATTCCCAGCACGCACAGCTCGAAGCGCGACCGGGCCGATTCTGTAGAGCCAGTCGAGAAGCGGCCCAAGCATACCGCCACCAAGCCTCGGAAGGCCATGGCCCTGCTGAAGATCAAGGTGGTCGTGCCAGTGGCCTCGACGTAAGTATGAGACTGAGTCTCTTCGTTGTGTAAATTTGTCTTAATTAACAGCCGAGTGATTCCATGACTGCAGCTCCAATACGTTGACGACTTCACCAGATTCGAATGCTCCTGGGAAGGGCCAAACTGAGGCCGATGCCACGGACGCCGCTACTCCCAAAGGCATCGATTGGTTTGTTCTTCGAATTATGTCCGAGTGGTTGATTGGCCGAAGTTCTAACACGCTAGTGAATGTAGCATCGACTGACGTGATCTAGCTCAACAACGACAAGCCAACTCGCCTAACCTAGAGGCTGATGAGAGGGTGTCGCCTGGCATTGATGCCATCATGCTAGAGGTTGTCTTCGAAGGCCGAGTGGATCGGGTCTCGCCAGTAGAGACCACTGCCAAGACTGCTTCACCGACAAATGCCATCGTAAATCCTACGGGCCCAAGTGTGATGACTCGGGTTAGTACTGATCTCGCGGCTACGGATCCAACTCCTCTACCAGCGTCGACCCCGCAACCTGCCATGATCACCCCATTCTCTCTACAGAGAGTC